ATCGTCTATGATGTTCTACCTCTTTTTTTTTTAATTCAACATAAACCTAAAATTGTCAGAAACTGGGCCAGTCTCAATAACTGGGTCTTTTACCTAATGTAATATATAATAATATATTCAAACATTAATTCAATTTCCACCCACCACAAATTAATTAAATAAATGAGAAAAAGCTGTTGTTGTTGTCACACCCCCGCCGGGAATCGAACCCGGGACCTTTGTCTTTACGCACCACTGCTCTGACCACTAAGCTACGAAAGGTAACAGTAGCAACAACGATGAAAGGTACTTATTAGGTAACAGTGGTGTGTATAGTCAAAGGTCCTGCGTTCGATTCCCGGCGAGGGTATGACAATACAATTTTGCTTCATTAATTTGAGGTAATTTATAGCGGGTGGAAATTGAACTAATTTTACATTCACGTCTAAATGTGATTAATAATTGACCGCTGTTAAAAAGCTTCTTAAAGTGTACCATTTGTTTAATAAAAAGCAATTTTTGTTTTGAGAAACTAGACTATTTACCGAGTAATGGCGAACGACATTTTAAAATTGCTTCAAGGTATAATTATTATGAAAGAAAAAAAAAATCGGTAGGAAATTTAAAAAATTGTGTCCTTGTTTTTACCACGGTTGTTACAGAATAACAATCCTTTTAAATAAAAAAAAGAACTTTAATAAAATTGCAAAATTTCTATTAGATACCTGAAATATAAAATAAAAAGCTGTAGGTAACAACGAATTAAGGACATCAATTAGGTGCACCATCGATTTCACACGTATTTACGTACAAACATTGCACAATAAGAGTATTGGTCTTTTTGTAGGCCGTATTGGGTAGTAAGGTCGTAAAAATTTAATAAATTTAATTAATTCTGTTTAAGAAACACCGTCGAAAGTAATCTTCATACGTAGTAAGTATTTACCAATGTTTATTCAAGGGATGTCATTGAATGAGATCTGTTATAGGCCGATGCCAAAGATTTCTACACTGGCGAGGCCAATTTTAAGGTGAATTTCGTCAAAAGAGTATAATAATACCTAGGGCCTGCNTCAAAAGAGTATAATAATATATAGTTTATCAATAAAAATATTATTTATTATTAATATCGTATTTATACATACATTGTGGTAGATATATGTATGTATGTATAACACAACAAAACTTGCTGCCTATATTTACTGCTATTTGTACACTACGACTGCTTAATTTTTTGTTATTATTTATTTTTGGTTAAGTGCTTATATAGCAAGGAGGAGTTAGAGATAGCTTTAAATAAAATGGAAGCGGTACTGACAGATCAGTACTGTATGAAAATAAATAAAAATAAAACTAAAATACTGGTATGCAAGGAAAGAAAAAGTAAGGAAAGTGCGAATATAAAGATAGAAGACGAAAAATTAGAAGTGACTGATTTTAGACATATTAGATGCAGAAACAGGAGTTAAGGGTGCAGAGGTAGGCCCAGATTAGATTACTGTTTGCAAATAGGAATATGGGTTGTTCTAGTTTTAGGGAAATGCGAAGTTTAGCCCAGGATAAGAAAGAGTGGAGGTACGTGTTCAACCAGTCTTAAGACTGACGACCTTATGATGATAAGAATGAAATGAAATTTTAATAATATTTAATAGATTTTGAATAGATATAAATTAATATCGTAGTGCAAGTGCCTTATACCCACATGAGTTACACAACTAGTAGCTTAATAACTGATTAATTACGATAAATATTATTTGGATAAACATTGAACGAATTTTCGTCGATATCCTTAAATATAGTATGTCACACGAGATGAAATTTGTTGAATTATTAACATCAGCAGATCAGTGCAGGAATAGGTAAAATAATAAATACAAGATGTGGACGAACTTTTCTTTTGCTTGTTAATCGTTATTATCATACATATACGTATAACAAAACTGTTGGAGTGAAACTTTTTGAGAATGAATTTTGAATATGAATTTCTTAATTGCAAGATTGTTTTCAAACAATTTTATGTAACAAACTAAGTTCTTCTTTAATATGTTTTTCTGCGCGCACTACTATAAATGTTATTATCATTAAAACTTGTTTATATAATTTTCTTAAAGAGTGAAGAGTTTCATGTATGCTTTTCGGTCGAATCCACGCCAATGCGATGGTTACACTTTTTTTAGTAGTACCTACCTATGTATGTATGAATGTATGTACTTACGCAAGTCGAGACTTTCAAGTAAGACATTTCTATTTAATTGATTTGTTATATAACGCTGCCTACGCATATTACTCTTCGTTTCTTCATTAGAGATAATTTTGTCCATATTTGCATAAAGTTTCGTTATTTTTAATTGAAGCTTTAAGATTAGTTATCATGAGTTTGTTCCTTAAATATAGGATAAAATGGTATTAAAATCGAATCTGTTGCAAAATATAATTTATTAAGATTTTAATCAAGTACGCCTAGTATAATTAATTCATAGGAAGAAAATATTGTATAAAATATTACAAAGTTAGAAATCCTTTAAATCATCACTTAAAATAATAATATGAGGTCTATATAAATATGGACCTTGCAATTTTTATTGAAAGAATATAATATAAGTGATTTTCCAAGTAATTGTGGCAATTTTAGGGGTTTTCTTACTTAAGCTTTAGGGGTAATAATTTTTGGGAGTAGATAACACGAGCAATTTTCCCATTAAATAACAAAAAGTTCAATTTATTACCGGCTTTAATTTTAAATAATTCGTATTGAGATTATTTAATTGTTATAGATAAGTATGGTTACTATTAATATCTACGTCAACAGTTATTGATAACTCACCAGACTTAGTTTCCATAATGTACCTATAGTAGTCTGTGAAAGGGGAAACCACTCCTGCCATTTTGACGAAATAAATGTAGACTAATTCTTAATACCTGCAAAAAAAATATAAAATGATATTACCTGCATTAATTCATGTTATATGTGATATATTTCAGTAAGTATATACTTAATAGTCTGTTATCTAGAGATTTCTCACTTATTGTGGCATTCAAAAAATGTTCAACAAGGTTATTTTCTTATAAAGGTCTAATCTGATGTAATACATTTACGAGTATCCTCTAGAATATAATTTAAATGCAGCCTTTGGTGATTAGGTGAATTTAATAGAATTCAATTATAATTTTTGAAGTGAAACTTCTTTATGTACGGTAGGGTAAGTTCGTTTCATGCGAATTGCTATGTAACGAAATCATGCAACGGATGTCCCTTCCTCTACTCGACTACGTAGTCCAGTTCGTAGTGGGGATCGCTTGAGTCGTGAACGCGCTTCAATGCAACGTTCGTTACAGGCATGTATACTGTAAAATTTAAATTCATAGTGTACAAATAATACCATTAAACCAACTCCTTAACCCCTATCCTGGTATGTTTGAAGAAGTTTCACTTCAGTGTTGTGTAATTACACGTTCTATTTTTTTTAACTATTCGGGTTAACAGATTTATTACTGTATAACTCTAACGTTTCGTTCAATAGTTGTGAGTATCCTCAAGAAATCATTACGAGTAGAGTTTTGGAATAAGCAACCATAATTCTTCTATTTTAAACAGTGTGGTATTTTAAAAAACATTTAAGTACAGACACAAACTGAGATTGTTTACTCCAAAACTCGACTTGTAACAATTCCCTGAGGAAGCTGACAACCATTAAGCGAAACGTTGGAGTTATACCGTTACTGTATAAACCTTTCACCTACAAGGTTATAGGATTTTAGGAACAATGGATATTATGATCATCTTTTCGGTTCACGCAAGAAAAAAGCCATTGTTTATTTAATAAACTACATTAACAACAAGTCGGCACTTTCTTTCTTGCCATTGTTGGTGCATCATATAAATTGTTTTATTGTTTCGCTATTATGTCACCTACAGCGTTGCGACCACCTCCAGTAGGCACTACTTGGGATATTCGCGATGCTTAGAAATCTGTTTTTTATGCAAAACAGCATCGTTATAGTATTTCTTCAATGTCTTATGTTTAATAGTAAATCAGCTTTAAGTGGCGTGTAGCTATATACGTATCTACAGTTACTGAACAAGTCACTTGCAACAGTAACCTAATTAACTACTTCTTTTATTACAATAAATTACAAAGTGTTCGAACATAATACTTCAAGAAAACTAAATCTGCTGTTACACGAATAAGTTTAAAAAGAATTAATTACGAACAATAAGAAACATTGTATACTGAAAAATAATTCGAACGTGGACTATGATCAGTAAAATTGTTATATTCTAAGTTTTTATTGTTGTTTGACAGATTTTCGGTGTGTAATAGAAGGTTAGATAACTGAAGATGGAAAGAGCAGTAGAGGTATAAACTGGAACATAGCACAGAATAGATTTGCTTTTAACAAAAAGAAGTCACTTTTATGCTCGCAAACGATTAATGTAGAAATTTGAAGAAAGATTCTAAAGGTAGGTACATGGTTGGAGCATGGCTTTATATGAGTGCGAAACGTGGGCGGTGGATGCGGTGGAAATGAAAAGGTTAGAACCATTCCAAATGTGGTGTTATAGGCAAAAGATGAGGATACCATGGATAGAGAAGGTTATAAATGAGGAAGTCAACAAGAAATAGACGAGATAGGTTGGTAGAACTCCTTATCAGTTATGAAGGGCTTGTTAGAAGCATATTAGAAGCAAATACAAAAGTTAGAAGGGGTAGGGGTAGACTTAGATTAGATTACTGTTCAAAAATAATTAAGTATGTGGGGAAATGCGAAGATTAGCTCAGGATAGGAATAGGTGGAGGGGCCTGATCAACAAGTCTTCGGACTGATGATAGTCAATTCAATTTGAAATTGACTTAGACCTTTATTTCTTTAGTTTTGAATTAAATAGTAAATTACAGAAATAATGTGATACGCAAAATACAAGTATTAAATTGAGAAGGTCAATTAGATCATGATTTCACAAGTGTACCTACTTATTATTTTTTGTATTATGATAAACATCCTTAATCCTTGAAGATTTTGAAGAAATGTGGAATAACGAGAATTAAGTTTTATTCCATTTAAATCGTTTGACTTCATTTCTATGGGTTAGTCGATTACTTAGTACAATAACTTGTAGTAAAACCCTAAAGAGGGGTAAATTAGATTACAGATTTTTCGCATATCTTGTGATGCGTTGCTTAAAAGGTCAAATTTGTTTTTTGGAATTGTTTAGAGGCATTATTAAAAATGTACATTCTCTTTTATGTCGGAAAATACACAAACTTAAATAACGTCTCTGACTTTTATAATTATAACATTATAACAAATTAAAGATAATAATGAAATAAAGGATTATGCGTTTTTGATACATTTAAATTTAAAATTTCTAGGGATTGTTCGCGAAAGTAAAATATAATGGCAGTAAATATTTCATGTTGTTTCAATAACGCAGTATATCGAGATTAATCGTTTTATATATATGTTAGGCCCGAACTCCGAAAACGCTCAGTGGCCGGAAAAAACGGCCACATCGCGTTCTGACTGCCTTCGAACGAACAGAACGCGTTTTGGCTGTTTTTAAACGCTCGCAACGCGTTCTGGTAACTGTTAAACAGCCGGAACGCCTTTTGTCAATTGTTGAACGCTCACAACGCGTTCTTAATGTTCGACTTGTATTATTTGCCGCTTTCTACCTGCGCACAATGAGATTTATATTGTACTTAGGTATAAAACAAATGAATTTCAATCCATTTTTCAGTTTTTAGGAAACAATTCAATTATTGAAAACTATAATTGGATACCAAAGATGGGTTCGCTTTTTCTCTCCGAATCATTTCAACAATATTAAATTTCTTATAATTGTTTTTCAGTTCACAGTTACACTGAACACTTATATTGTCGAGACTCGTGATTTTTGGGCGCATTTTGAGCATGCTCAACTTCTCCTACAAGCAATTCGTACCTTTCCTCAGACAGCAACATAGACCTATCGTCACAACTATCAATAATTGGTTTTACTTTATCGTAAAAAATTTCTTTCGCTGATTTATCAAACATTTTAATGAAAGTGTAACTTTTCAAACGACTTTAGTAAGTTGCTTAGTCAATGACAGACTGATCTTCTCGCTAAACTGACGAGAACTGCACTGATTTTTCATTCAGTGTAACTTTCTTCCTAGAACTGAAAAACAATTATAAGAAATTTGATATTGTTTAAATGATTCGGTGAGAAAAACCGAACCCATCTTTGGTATGCAATTATATTTGTCAATAATTGAATTGTTTCCTAAAAACTGAAAAATGGATTGAAATTCATTTGTTTTATAAGTACAATATAAATCTCATTGTATGCAGGTAGAAAGCGGCAAATAATACAAGTCGAACATTAAGAACGCGTTGTGAGCGTTCAACAATTGACAAAACGCGTTCCGGCTGTTTAACAGTTACCAGAACGCGTTGCGAGCGTTTAAAAACAGCCGAAACGCGTTCTGTGCGTTCGAAGGCAGCCAGAACGCGATGTAGCCGTTTTTTCCGGCCCTGAGCGTTTTCAGTCTTCGGGCCTAACACATATATCATTTTCAAAAATCTACAAGTGCACAGTGCGCCACAAGGACTATGAAAAATTGCCCTCATTCGCGTCATGATTACGCATTAAGCTCTTTTCGTTTGAGGACCCTAGTAACTTGTCTAAGCAATTACATTCATATCTGTGTGGATTTTTATTGTTTTTTTTTTCGCCAGTGGAAATTTGCACACCTAGTTGTACATTCGCCCTTAGATTGATATAATTATGTATTAGATTTTGTGCAGTTAATTTTAAATTAGAATATTTGTCGTTTGTTTTGATTACCTTAACTACAGGTGCCATGGACAAATACGTATGCAAGTATTATTTCACCTCTTCTAAAGAATAGTGCACCTGTACTTTATTTAGTACATATTTATTTATATTTTTTAGCACACCGAATGAAATAAGTCATTTAAATGTAAAATATCTATCTGTGTGAATATTTTTGAGACTAATGCCCTTCACAACGATCAATTTCAATGATAATAAAGATACTTATTGTTATAATATGAAATATCTAATATAATTTTCTGAATGCAGGTCAAGAACTTTTTATAATTGCGCTGAACAAAAGCTAGTTTCCACGATAAATGTTCGTATAATAATAACAACACGATGTTGGAATTGTGAATGCAACGGTATGTGTAAATTAACTCCCTATTAAACAATGATGAAATAAAAATAAACTGGAAACAGTTATCGATTTCTTTTCTTCCATCAATGTCTTGCTATGTTACAATTACAGCAGTATTTTTATGCACTTGATATTGGTTTAAAATTCGAAATCCTGATTCGGGTTTAAAGACTGTCGTCGGTTGGAATTATTTCCTGACGATGCTGCTAAACTCTAATCTGGACAACATCAATTCATCTACTGGCCGAGAAAGCCTTTACCAATTTAATAAATAATTGATTGTTTCTATACCTCTCTGAAGCACATAAATTCGACTAGCTTTTACTTCTAATTTCGACAATGTGAATTGGGCAAAGCATTTCCTTTTCATTGTAACAGTACCTACCGACTGTAGATAATTGTGCAATATGGTAACTGCTTAGTATTCCATGGGAGCAGTTCCTTATTTATTGCAGAAAGTAAGAGTAGGTACATTTAGCCTATTACGAAATAGTCACATTCTACTCAATATTTAAAACAATAAACCATTTGTCTCTTAAACACTTTACTTACTGTTATTCCACAGAAACCCATATGGGATTGTTACAAATAAGAACTATGCATAACTATTCTGAATTCGCTTAGGACTTACGATCATTTAATAACAAATTGTTAACGTTAATTAAACCATTAACAAAAAAGTTATCAAAAGTACAATACACGAAATGAAATAGGTTTTGAGTTTTGCAAAAATAT